CTTTGATCATGAATTTCATCCATTATATAATACTGTATATATATATATATATCTGACATTTCCTATAAATAAATAAATTGGTGACATGAATATGAATGAATATATGAATTTTGAAAAAATAAAAATAAAAATAAATGTAAATATGTAAATATATAAATATAAATATAAATATAAAAGAAATATATTTTAAATATGTTTTTTAAATTGTATACACCACTTTATAATTACACCCTGAGTATATCTGTTATTGTTGTTTAAAAATCCTTTTTGTTTTTTAAATGCATCATTAAAAAATCAAGAAATAATGTTCTCTAATTAATCAAAATGTATAAGTAACCTACTTTCAAAACAATTCTCTTAAATGAAAAAGAAACTAACAATTAATTCGTGATCCACCAGTTAAGGAAAGGATTTAATTAATGCCAATCTGGGCAAATTTTTTAAATTTCATAGTAATAATAATAGTAATCGATTTTTCGCCCCCATAGAAAGTCATGCATTTATTATGTTACATAAAAAAAATTTATATCAACCTGTGTAAATCAAAAGTAAAAAACTATATTTACTTAAAAATATATGGGCTATTAAATTTGTCAGTTTTCTGTTATTTAAGGAGCGGTCCTGGATTGTGGGTATAAAATACATATATTTAAATATATAAAATAATTAGAATGTGTTCTAGAATAATAATATTATTAAATATATTTAATAACCACAATGGTAGCTATTGACTTTATTTATTTTTACTGTTATTTATATCTAGAAAAAACTAATAGTAATTGTTACATATTATAATAATAATAGAGGAAAATTTATGATATTAATTTTAATAGGTCAATAAACTATCATGGGTCAAAAAGTGGCAAAACAGCTATATTTAAACCAATAATTATTGAGGTGTGTAAAGTTGGTGTCTGATCTAAGAAATTGCAATTTGGGATGTTTCAACCTAGGCCACAACTGGTTGCAGAATTTCAAATCAGTTGCAGACACTAACTTTAGAGGCATGGTTAGATTTGAATGTTAAATCTGGACATCCATTTTTTGGTAACTTTATGATTATAATTTGAAACTATTGACTATTTTTTGGTAGGCTTGTAAAGCAGTTAAAAATACACGTAATACATGGTTTTGGAAGTTGTATGACCTTTTAATAAAGCTCTCGCCAAGTTTTTCTTCATATAAACCATTTTTCAATGAAAGATCTGCATGTTTTAGCCAATAATACTTGTTTTGATTTTAGACGAAACAATTCTGGGTTATGTAACTTTAGGAATTTTGGAGCTATTTTTATAAATTTAAATTAAAAAGATTGCCAGATCTCAGAGTTTTATTTAGTAATTTTAAAGTACAAATCTACATGTAAAATATTGAGCTATTTCTGCAGCGGTTCCAGATTATGGACACTAATTGATTTTACTATGACGCTTATCCTGGAATTTTACTATGTATATCCTTTCCTTCATTGATGGATCACGAATTAAACAGTAAATAAAAATTCTATAAGAGTGATAGGCTACTTAAATCACAAAAAAGGGTTTATCTAATTTAAAATAAATAGACAAATATAAAGCATTTTAAGAAAATTTTTGATAATGGTAAGAGATGTTTGTTCACCATGTGGCACTTCCTAAGAGACTAGGTGAAAATTTCAATAATCAGATCAGATAAATAAAATCTATTCACAAATTAGATAAATCATCTGGTATAGCTAATTCAATTTGTTTAGAATCTGGAATAGTTAATTTATAAATATCATTAATAATAAATAATTAAGATTAAATGTGTAACAATAAATTAGATAATTACCATTATTGTTGCTAATAATTGTAACTTTATTGGAATTTACAGGTTGAGAAAGATTTGTAAAATTCAATAATCTACTTGTATAAACTGCATTTGAATGAGCAGTTGCTGTAATTGTTGAAGGGTTGAAAGGTTTTTGATCTGCTTCCTCAAATATTTTTCTTATTTCTTTTAATTTATAATAATTAAGTTTGTGATTTAGGATTTCATTGATACCAATTGTGCCAACTGCATCTTTCCAAAAAGCAATAATTTTTAAAATTTCATCTGCTGTTGGTCTTTTTTCAGGATCAGCATCCATGCATTTGTATGCTAACCTGATATAACATTCTGGAGTGTTATCTGAAAAACTAGGCCTTAAGCCACCACAAATCTTCAGTGCAAGATCTAGATCATGTGGTTGATCTTTGAATGGCTGTTGATGTGTTGATGTTTCTGACATTAAAATCCCAAAGCTATAAATGTCTGATTTTTGTGTGTAAGGTTTCTTATTTAAAACCTCTGGTGCAACATATGGCAGTACTCCAAATATATCATTTTTACTTTCAATTGATGTTTCTTGATCAGCTGAGCCTGATAACCCTAAATCTGTAATCATTGCCTGGGATAAATATTTAAAATATAAAATATTACCACTGTGAAGATCACCATGTGTAAGTTTTTCTTGGTGAAATGTGTTTAAACTTGAAATGATGTCATAAAGTATTGTGATTCTGTCATTCCAATTTCTACAATTTGATTTTAAATATCTCCTGTAATCTCCTTGGTCTGCATATCTCATTATGAGTACATATTCTTTTGTATTTGGATCTTGTGAAATACCATAAATATTAACTATACCCATTTGATGAGGTCCTATAAATTTAATGTGGCTTTGAAGCTTTATGAAAATTAATAAAAAATTAATATATTATATTATTTAAAAATCATTAATTGTCAAATTATATCAAATTATTTACCTCTTTTAAAAACTCTTCAGAAATGTCTTGAGAATTTTTAACCTTTTTTAATGCTACATGACCACTATTGCAATAATATCTTGTATTTTTGTAAACATATCTAGGACCATTTGACCAATTACACTTATGCACAGTTGCAAAACCACCTTCACCTATTGCTTCTTTAACTGTGAGTTGGTCATAAGGAATCCACTCAAGGTAATGATAACTATCAAATCCTTTTGCTTCAAGCTGTGTATTTCTGATTATTTCATCTAATTTTTTATTACCACTGCTAGTCCAACTTTGAGCTAACAATTTGGGATCACATGATCGACACCACTGGTAATTAGTATTATATCTTCTACAAACAGAACAGGTCCCATATTCTTTTTTCCCTTTTTCAAACCCCTTAGTGTTATCTTAATATTCCAAATAATTAATTTTTTCATTATAAAAAAAAATTAAAAATAAAATAGAATTATTTTCAACATAATAAAAATAAACATTCATTTAAAAGTTATAAAAAAATTAAATTTATAAATTATTTTACCTTCAGTCATTATTTATTATAATACACAAAAAATAAATTTATATATTTAGACAAGGTTTTGATAAAATTATAAAAGTTATTTTATATATAATATAACATAACATTTACCAACTGTTATTATGAAGAAATAAGATTTAATTAGATGATGCTATAAAAATTTGTTTTATGTTGTAAAAATTACTTACATGCTGGTTATCATAAAGAAAAATAAATTTATTAATTAGTTGATGTTTTAATAAAAATTATTTGTAAAAGTTTATGATGTGATACTTACTTCCTGATTATTATAAAAATTTATTAATTAGACAATGTTTTAATAAAATTTATTTTGTATTAATTTATAATATATTACTTACCAACTGGTTATTATAATAAAAAAATAAACTTATTAATTAGATATAAAAATTATAAAAGTTGATTTATAATACAATAAAATGCTTACCAGCTGGTTATTGCAAAAAAATAAAAATGAATTTATTTAGTTAATGTTTTAATAAAATTTATTTTATGTTATGTATAAAAGCATAATACTTACAATCTGGTTATAAAAAAGTAAAAATTGTATTTATTTAATTAGAAAATGTTTTAATAAAATTTAGTTTGTAAAAAGTTGCTTTATAATATAATGCTTACATACTGGTTATTATAAAGAAATAAAAAAATAAATTTATTTAATTAGATGATGTTGAAGATAAAGTTTATTTTGTGTTGTAAAAGTTGATTTATAATATAATACTTACTCCCTGGTTATTATAAAGAAATAAAAAATAAATTTATTTAATTAGATGATGTTTTAATAAATTTTATTTTGTGAAATATTTATTTACCTTTATAGAATTTAGCTAATTATTTTATTATAAAGCAATATTAAATTACAATGTAAAAATCCTTTTACTATTACTACATATTTTTAAAATAGCTATCTTCTGTGTAAGAAAAAAATACCTTCATTCATTTTTTTATTGGAATATAAATTTTTTTGTCTACTATCATTATTCCTTATTATTATAATCATAATTATCCAAAAAAATATTCATGAATTTTGTGAAACCTCTAAATTTATAATAATCACGGAGATATTCTGGAGTGTCATTTTTTACAGGGCCATGATCATGGTATTCTACCAGCAGAAGGTAGTCTTTTGATCCCTTGAACAGTCTGTTTTTTTTTAATATATACAAGAATGGATTCAGGACAATTTCCTCAAAAGGATTAAAAATCCTTCTTTATAAATAATACCACATACAATAATAAGTCAAAATTCATTATGTTCATTATTATAACTAATTATTAAATTTAAATGGACTGAATAAACTTGGCTGAGAAAATTTAACCAAACAATTAATTCCTTAATTTGAATCTATGCTGTAAGAATCCCCATTTTATAAAAATCATTAACCTCACCACTAATTTCATTCGCCATATTTTTATGAGTTTTGCTAATTCTCAAATAACAAATAATTATTAGTGAAATTATATTCTAATCTATGAAGTATATTACCAATCACTTATTGGTAGATGATGGTATTGTCTGTAATAACTGAACAATTTAAATAAATTCTCTGTTAATCACTCATTTTGTTATTGTCATGACTATAAATTAGGAAAATTCAAATTCAAAATTCTGTAAAAATTTATTATTTTGGAGATTTCTCATTGAACAATTTGCACAGCATTGGAGTCTGTCACATGAAATTTTTATAATGGAAAACAATACCATTTCAGAAGAATTTAGTGGTGGTAGTGGTGAACAAGCCTCTTTACCATTACTTACAGGTTTATCATATAAAAGTTCAAAAGCACTGCAGAACAATTTAATAAACTTAGCAACCACACCAAACACTGAATCCTCATCTAACCTTCCACTATTATTAAATAATATCAATGATGATGATGATGATATAAAGGTTTCCGAGTGTTCTAATGATGATAAATTAACATCAATTTTTTCAACAATGAATTGTTCATCATCATACTCATTACTTAATGGGTCTGTTGGTGAATTGATGTTGATGAAACTTTATTCATCTCATAAAGAATTCTCAGTTATTATAAAATTATTGATTTTTAAAAAGGTTTTTTATATTTATAATTTAAAATTTCTTAAAAAAACTATTCAATTTATTACTGATAAATACAATATATATAATAAATTTTTTTCAGGCAACACTATTAATTCCAGCAACAACATCAATTGATTCATTTGATATAATAGATATGAAATTTATGCAGGATCATGTGATATTTACATTACCAATTGATAATGGAGGGCTTAAATTTGTGACATTAAGTGGAGTAAGAGGTTTCATTCAAAAGTAGGAATGGGTCTTATTAATCAAAAAATAACAATTTGCTTGATCAATAATACTTAGTTTACTTAATTAATGTATATTATATCATTTAGCAATGTTTTAAAGGTTATGGATTTAATATCTGAACATTTACCAATATTATCAAATAATAATTCATGTCATAAAGGGTATTGTCATTATTATTAGTAAAATGTTATTTATAATATTACAATTCTAATTCTAAATGTTTGAAAAAATTTTATATAGATTAAATATTGACCATAATGATAATAATATATCAACAACACCAAATGAACATTCAACAATATTTTATCCAATAATAAAAATAATAAACAATAAAAGCAATATTATATTTGATGATATTAATATTCAGTCAATAATAATAGAATCACCTATTAGGTCCAAAGATATTGTTGAAGATATTAATATTAAACAAGAAATGGATAAAATTACAAAATTACCTGATTTACCAGAATCACCATTAGAAGATATCAGAAGGTTAAGGAATATTATTATTAATTTTATATTATTATTGGAGAGAATATTTACATGGGTTGTACAAAAAGTTTTGAGAAAATACATGTAACTTGATGATCTTTTCTTTAATAAAAATAAAAATGGGAATAAAAACCCCTTAAGCCACAATCTTTTAAATAATAAAAAAATCATTCAAATTGAGTCATTTGTTGTTAAGTTATAAATTTTTAAAGTTTGCCAGTAGAAACAAATAGAAAATTCAAAATATGAATACCAAAGATACTACATTTTTGTTAGCTGGAAAAATAGCAAACCAGCTAAGCAAATTCAACAGGAATTACAGGTTGCTGAGGGGTCTAATGCAGTATCTTTAGCATCTATTTATTGTTGGATTGAAGCATTTGAAAGTGGAAAAAACAATGTTGAAGATGATTCACGTTCTGGACATCCTCAAGAAACTTCCACCCTTGAAAACATTGCAAAAGTTGATGATTTAATTAGTGATGATCCTTGTATGACAATTACAGCTATTGAAGAGAATTTAGGTATTTCTAGAGGAAGTATTCAAAGTATTTTACATAATGGATTAAAAGTTCATAAAATTTGTAAAAAATAGGTCCCACATGTTTTAACTGATGAAATAAAAAAAATCAGGTTGAAATTTCTAAGCAATTGTTAGGAATCCTTGATAATGGACTTAATAATATTATCACAG